CACGTATCTAGACCATACTCATCAACCTTTCTAAAGGACCTAGAGGGGCTAAAGTCCCCAATTTATTTTCTCTTACCCAATTTTTGTCTAGAGTGCCGTCGGGAGGCACTTGCTTCTGCAGGAGGGAACACTCGTTTCTGGGCCTTCTCTGAGTCACTTGTGTTCAGTGAATCTGTTGTTCCGGACAATTTCTTCAAACTAGATTCATTACTTAACAGTGCCCTGGATATTCCCTTTAATGTGAGAGTCACATATTAAAAGCCAACATACATTTATTTAGTTTCTTAGGGCTTGCAACCTGTTTTCACATGTAGGAGTTTTGTTCAACAGTCCCCTGAAAAACCTGGAGTGTCTGAATACCAGAGAGAAAGGGAAAAGCCTGATTGAGTAGTGACTCTAGGACTAGAACCCATGTCTTTTTTTTTTTTTTTTTTAAAGATGACCAGTAAGGGGATCTTAACCCTTGACTTGGTGGTGTTAGCACCACGCTCAGCCAGTGAGCTAACTGGCCATGGCTATGTGGGATCCGAACCCGGGGCCTTGGTGTTATCAGCACCACACTCTCCCGAGTGAGCCACGGGCCGGCCCTAGAACCCATGTTTTAAGGCTCTTTTCCTTCAACTTTCTCTATATACGTGAGAGTGAGGGAGGGAGAATATTTTGGAATACTAGCCGGAGACTCAACAAGGTCTGTGAAAGAAGGAGGTAGGGGCTTATAGAGAAAAAGGGGGGATCTTCTATGAAGTAGCACACATTTGATGGAAGGAGAAATGTAGAAAAGCACAGAGGGTACAAAACACATCTGGAAAATGAACAGTGAGGTTGGGAAGAGAAGAAACAGTTGGTGTCAGGCCTTAAAATCTAACGCCACCTTAAGTGACATTACAAGTGGGCCCATTATGGGCCCACAAGGGCGTATTAATGTGGCAGCCTAAGACCGCGCCGGGAGGAAGTAGGGTGGGGGTGTCTTCGGGAACCTTGCCTAAGCCCTTATTGGCCAAATACACGCTTCCACCCTCGAGGTTGCAATAGCTAGGCATTGAGACAGGATGCATGCTCTCTTGACCTTTAAGCTGATAAGATTATGTAAAAAACCTCCCCTCCCTATCTGCCTATAAAAGCAAGTGCTTGTGTGATAATAAATGGAACTGCCTGACAAAACCCCCCCCCCCCGTGTCTCAGTGTCCTTTAACTGGGCTGGGTGGGGCCGGCGGTTGTGCTCACCTCTCTTCACGGCTCTCTTCTCCCATCTCCTTCCAAAGGTGACTGGAGGGAAAGAGGAATCCAGGCCATTTGCTCGCCCACTGAAAGGAACGAGGCTAGGGCTGTTTGGGTCAGCTGCCGCCAGTGGACCAACAGAGTGGTGCCCCGTGTGAGGCGTTTTTAAAACTCTCAGGTGAAAGGCGAGCGAGTGAGGCCCCCGGCTGCTTGGTCCTGAAAGAAGGTCGACAAAGGGTGATCAACCAGCATAGTGGCCCCCACGACTGCGGTAGTCGCCGTGAAGTAATCCGCCTGCGTGTCAGGGTGAGTACCATAACGGGGAAGTCCCTGCACTTCTCAGCCCTGTGCTCCCTTTGTCCCTTCCTCGGGGCAACATGGGAGGTGTGTGTGTGGAAAGAGTGATGAGACAGCTTGTATGTAAGGCTCTAAAGTACATGTTAAAAAGCAGAGGCGTAGAAATATCTGACTCCATGGCCACCAATGCCTGGCGTCATGTGGTGCAGGTAGCCCCTTGGGCACCTTCATCCAACTTGTTCTCATATGAGACTTTGGACTGGGTTCAGGCCTTGGCCAGAAAGAATGAGATTAGTCACGGGCTAGACCCCCCCTTAGGGTTCTACCAACCATCTCTGCCCTAAAGTTTTGCTTCCGTCCTGAGCATCAGGAAGGGGCAGAAAGGGATTGGGCGCAGTTCGATGAGGAGAGAAAAAAGGAAACAAAGCTGCCAATGCAAGCCCTGAGCAAAGTTTAGCCAAAGGAGAGAAAGTGGCACCTGAAGAAGTGGAGGAGGCTAGTCCACCTTTAAAAACATCCCTGGCAGAGGGGCCGGCCCGGTGGTGCACTGCTACAGTGCGTCGCTTGGGAAGCGCAGTGGTGCTCCCGTCGAGGGTTCGGATCCCACATACAGACCGGTTCCCGCTCACTGGCTGACCGAGGAGCGGGGGCAACACTGAGGGTTGCGATCCCGTTGCCGGTCCCGGTCTGGTACGGGCGCGACACTGAGGGTTGCGATCCGTTGCCGGTCACGAAAAAATAGACAAAAAAAAAGACACACACAAAAAAAACATCCCTGGCAGAGCCGCAAGTTTTCCCTGTTATGGCTCGCTGGGAACCCCCAGCCATCCGCAGCCCATGAGGGGAAGCGGCCCCTCAGGCCTATCCGGTCAATGTTGTAAAAGAAAAAAAAAAAAAAAAAAAGGCTGTTGCCGAGGCCGGGACTTTATCCTCAGCCTTGCAGGATCAGACACAAAACTTAACTGAAGCCTTCAAGGCATTTACCACCCTGATCCGCTCAGGAAACAATACTTCCCCACCCTTCAAGGGACAATGTTTTGGTAGCGGAAGACAAAGTCATTTTAAAAGCCAGCACCTCCATGCCCTACCAGGCGGCCAGTACCCCAGGCTCATTGGACTATACCTGTAGTTCCTGGTTTAAGACCAAAAATGAATCTTAAAATTCAAGGCAAAGAGTTTCGATGCCTTGTTGACACGGGGGCTGATCGAACAGTCCTTAGCCACTATGGCAATAATAAATGGGTCTCCAGCTTCAAGGACAAGCCATTGTTGAATGGCATCACCAATGCCTAAAAAATCAATTATTAAAACAAAAAGGGGGAGTCACCAGCCCTCATCAGCAGTTGGGACAGGCACTCCTAACTTTAAACATCCTAAATTTTTCCAAAAATGAACCCCTGTCTGCATTCCAGAAACACAGGTCAGCTCAACCACCGTGCCCGGAAGTCCAAGTGGGTGGAAAGACCCCTTAAAAGGCCAGTGGAGGGGCCCTGACCCATTTCTAACTATGGGTTGAGGGTTTGGTTGTGTCTTCCCCCTCAGTGAGTCAACCCCTATATGGGTCCCAGCCAAAAATCTTAAGTTCTTGCGAGGGGGGGGGGGGGGGGGGGGCCCTGAGGAGTTTATTGTTTGTATGTTTCAGACTGCATTATGAACCCTTTGTGGATGCTCCTAGTGGCCGCCCTCCTCGGGTCAACAAGGATAAGGGCCTCTGCTACTGGAGAAGGTCCCCAGGAGCCAGCCAACCAAACCAGGGAGGTCATACAAGCCGCTTGGAGGTGTCTGTAACACA